TGTTGTGCGCGCAGCGTTTCGGGCAGAAAAACGCTATATTAAAAATACTAAAATATACTAAAAAACATTCTCACTCGTTGTGTTATTTGGGTCTCTTGAGACCACGAGCATGTTTCATCAAACTGTCATATGACTGTTGATGTATATGTTAATAAACTGGCTTGACAACGCTGTAAACTGTTTACCTAAACAAGACTTCTTTTTCACTTTCTGAAAAAAGTGAAACAAAAAACAAAGTGAAAAACACCCACCACAACCACCACCATCAACACCCGCCACAACCATCACCATCAACACCCGCCACAACCACCACCATCAACACCCACACATACAACCACCACCATCAACACCCGCCACAACCACCACCATCAACACCTACACATACAACCACCACCATCAACACACTACACCACTACCACCACCATCAACACCCACATACAACCACCACCATCAACAACCACTACCATAACCACCACCATCAACACACCACATACACCACCACCACCATCAACACCCGCCACAACCACCACCATCAACACCACTACCACAACCACCACCATCAACACCCGCCACATAACCACCACCATCAACAACACCCGCCACAACCACCACCATCAACACACCGCCACAACCACCACGATCAACAACACCACCAACCACCACCATCAACAACACCACCAACTACCACCATCAACATCATAACCACCACCATCAACACCCACCACAACCACCACCATCAACACCCACTACACACAACCACCACCATCAACACACCACCACAACCACCACCATCAACACACCACCACAACCACCACCATCAACACACCGCCACAACCACCACCATCAACACACCACATACCACCACCACCACCATCAACACCCACCACACCACACCACCACCATCACCACACACTACCACAACCACCACCATCAACAACACCACAACCACCACCATCAACACCCACCACAACCACCACCATCAACACCCACCACAACCACCACCATCAACACCCGCCACAACTACCACCATCATCACCCGCCACAACCATACCATCAACACCCACCATCAACAACACCACCACAACCACCACCATCAACACCCACCACAACTACCACCACCATCAACACACCACCACAACCACCACCATCAACACCCGCCACAACCACCACCATCAACACCCACCACAACCACCACCATCAACACCCACCATCAACACCCACCACAACCACCACCATCAACACCCGCCACAACTACCACCATCAACACCCACCACAACCACCACCATAAACACCCACCATCAACACCCACCACAACCACCACCATCAACACCCGCCACAACCACCACCATCAACACCCACCATCAACACCCACCACAACCACCACCATCAACACCCGCCACAACCACCACCATCAACACCCACCACAACCACCACCATCAACACCCACCACAACCACCACCATCAACACCCACCACAACCACCACCATCAACACCTGCCACAACCACCACCATCAACACACCGCCACAACCACCACCATCAACACCCACCACAACCACCACCATCAACAACACCACCACAACCACCACCATCAACACCCACCACAACCACCACCATCAACACCCGCCACAACCACCACCATCAACACCCGCCACAACCACCACCATCAACACCCGCCACAACCACCACCATCAACACCCACCACAACCACCACCATCAACACCCACCACAACCACCACCATCAACACCCGCCACAACCACCACCATCAACACCCGCCACAACCACCACCATCAACACCCGCCACAACCACCACCATCAACACCCACCACAACCACCACCATCAACACACCGCCACAACCATCACCATCAACACCCGCCACAACCACCACCATCAACACCCACCACAACCACCACCATCAACACCCGCCACAACCACCACCATCAACACCCGCCACAACCACCACCATCAACACCCACCACCATCAACACCCGCCACAACCACCACCATCAACACCCACTACCATCAACACCCACCACAACCACCACCATCAACACCCACCACAACCACCACCATCAACACCCGCCACAACCACCACCATCAACACCCGCCACAACTACCACCATCAACACCCACCATCAACACCCACCACAACCACCACCATCAACACCCACCACAACCACCACCATCAACACCCGCCACAACCACCACCATCAACACCCGCCACAACCACCACCATCAACACCCGCCACAACCACCACCATCAACACCCACCACAACCACCACCATCAACACCCGCCACAACCACCACCATCAACACCCACCACCATCAACACCCACCACAATCACCACCATCAACACCCGCCACAACCACCACCATCAACACCCGCCACAACCACCACCATCAACACCCACCACAACCACCACCATCAACACCCGCCACAACCACCACCATCAACACCCGCCACAACCACCACCATCAACACCCACCACAACCACCACCATCAACACCCGCCACAACCACCACCATCAACACCCGCCACAACCACCACCATCAACACCCACCATCAACACCCACCATCAACACCCACCACAACCACCACCATCAACACCCGCCACAACCACCACCATCAACACCCGCCACAACCACCACCATCAACACCCGCCACAACCACCACCATCAACACACTACACACCACCACCACCACCATCAACACCACCATCAACACCACCATCAACACCCACCACAACCACCACAATCAACACCCGCCACAACCACCACCATCAACACCCACCACAACCACCACCATCAACACCCGCCACAACCACCACCATCAACACCCACCACCATCAACACCCACCACAACCACCACCATCAACACCCGCCACAACCACCACCATCAACACCCACCACAACCACCACCATCAACACCCGCCACAACCACCACCATCAACACCCGCCACAACCACCACCATCAACACCCGCCACAACCACCACCATCAACACACCCACCACAACCACCACCATCAACACACCACCACAACCACCACCATCAACACCCGCCACAACCACCACCATCAACACACCGCCACAACCACCACCATCAACACCCGCCACAACCACCACCATCAACACCCGCCACAACCACCACCATCAACACCCGCCACAACCACCACCATCAACACCCGCCACAACCACCACCATCAACACCCGCCACAACCACCACCATCAACACCCACCACAACCACCACCATCAACACCCACCACAACCACCACCATCAACACCCACCACAACCACCACCATCAACACCCAACACAACCACCACCATCAACACCCACCACCATCAACACCCAACACAACCACCACCATCAACACCCACCACCATCAACACCCGCCACAAGGTGGGGATAAGCAAGGAGATAATGAACTTGAAAAGGGACTATTTGAAGGTCAGAAAACAGTCACAGGCAGAGATGAGGCTTCGAGTTGAAGAAAAGTAACAAGTAGAGTTCCCCAAGAGCGGTCCTGCGATCCCTACTCTTGTTAATTTACGTGAATGACCAACCGGAAGGAGTGAGCTCACACATGTCAATGTTTGCAGAACACTCAAAGCTAAGGAGGAAGGTTACAGTTACAGAATGTTACCTGGACAAATTACAAGAGTTGGTAAACAAATGGTTACTAGGATTCAATCCCAACAAGATTAAGGTAACGAAGATGAGAAAAGAGAAGAGACCTGAAGGTGTGTGTACACCATCAGGGAGTCAAGGTTGCCTGGTGTGGCCACTACAACAGTCGAAGAGATCAAAGTATTTGGAAGTGGATATCCATTATCTTTGGAAGTGGATATAATTCCAATATCTCCAGCGTCACCCACAAACACGGCTGTTGTAAGGCAATCTATAGACTTTGTGAGACCAATACTAAAATGTGCAGGACCGGCCTGGAATGCTCACCATTAGAAGCATAAACCAAAATTGAAAAGTACAAAGGTTAGCATCAAGATTACTGCCAGAGCTAAGAGGGTTGAACTATGAAGACAGGTTAAGGGAAATACACATCACACCCTGAAGGAGAGCAGAAACATATGGAGACATGAAGGTAACATACAAGATATTTGGGACAGATTTTAAGGTGAACAAGGACAACATCTTTTAAAATTAGAGAAATATGGACGAAATGGAAATGGATAGATTCAAATGGAAGTTGGACACGCAAACGAATCGGAAATGTTCGAACGTTCTCGTAATGTGAACGGGAAGTTTATATGTGTATATGTAGAACACACAAAAAGAACTTCTTGAAGCCACCTCCATCCACAACTTTAAGACCTGATTCGACAGGGAATTCGAACGTCAGAATAATTACACTTTTACGCAACAGGTGAGACAAGATTAATACGCGGGGCATAAAGAGTTAGACCTCACTTCCCCGTGATGACTGATACTAAATACCGGTTGGTAAGCACTCTGCTGTGACACCGGTCAGCCAGCCCGGCGTGACACCGGTCAGCCAGCCCGGCGTGACACTGGCCACCTGTATGATAGAAATGTTTGGAACACGTGGTCTTGGACCGTGTTCATGTGAAGGACTCTAATGATGGTCGAGGACCACTCTGCAGTAAGCATAATTGGACAATACTGACTCGTGGCCACCTGACACGACCAACACTGTCGACACGCCGCGGGTATATACAAGTATATCCGTTTTGCTGACGACGGAGTGCGCATGCGCTCTGGCTGGATGGACGAGAGCCACCATCCCGCACCTCCACCATTCATTCCCACGTCCTCCACCACACTCCACCCTCACCTGCCGCCTCCACCACACTCCACCCTCACCTGCCGCCGCCTCCACCCTCCACCCTCACCTGCCGCCGCCTCCACCACACTCCACCCTCACCTGCCGCCGCCTCCACCCTCATCTGCCGCCGCCTCCACCACACTCCACCCTCCCTCTCCTGCCGCCGCCTCCACCCTCCACCCTCTCCTGCCTCCGCCTCCACCACACTCCACCTCACCTGCCGCCGCCTCCACCACACTCCACGAGCGAGTGCCGAGTGACTGGAGTGCGAAAGTGACCTTTGTGAAGTAAATAAGTGTTGCATACTAGCGAAGTGATTTGTAATACCTGGACGGTGGTAATTATCCTTCATGTCCGACTATTAGACCATTATATTACATACACTTTTCTATAAAAGGTAAACTGAGACGAGGAACATGGCGGACGGCAGACCTCTCAACTTGCGGACCGCGAGCCCGGGCGACGAGGGCTTCAGCGACGGTGTCACCCCGCCGCCGCCGCCGCCACAGCAGCAGCAGCAGCAGCAGCAGCTGGAGCAGTCACCAGGAGGCAGCAACAGAGTGCCAAAATGCGCCCGTTGTCGCAACCACAACAAACACACGCCCCTGAGAGGGCACAAGCGCTACTGCCCGTTCAAGGAGTGTCAGTGTGCCAGCTGCGAGCTGACCGTCCAGCGGCAGAAGATCATGGCGCAGCAGGTGGCCCTGCGTCGCGCCCAGGACCAGGACGAGGCCAGGGCCAGCACTGACCTGAGGGAGGCGCTGACGTGCCCGCCCGCAGCCTCGCCCACCACCACCAGCCTCCCGGAGTGTGAGGGAAGCTGGCGGGACGACGGCGCCTCCACTGCTCTCCTCCCCACACCCACCACGTCTCACCTGCTCAAGCATCACCTCTCCAGGGACCTCCACCCCTTCCGCCCCCTCCATGGTAAGTGTATACACGCACGCGCGCGCGCCCACACACACACTGCCGAGTACACTCTGCACTCGGTCCTATCTTGTTTCTGATATATGTAAATGATCTCCCGGAGGGTATAGACTCATTCCTCTCAATGTTTGCTGACGATGCCAAAATTATGAGAAGGATAAAAACAGAGGAGGACTGTTTGAGGTTTCAAGAAGACCTAGACAAGCTGAAGGAATGGTCGAACAAATGGTTGTTAGAATTTAACCCAAGCAAATATAATGTAATGAAGATAGGCGTAGGGAGCAAGAGGCCAGATACAAGGTATCATTTGGGAGATGAAATTCTTCAAGAGTCAGAGAGAGAGAAAGACTTGGGGGTTGACATCACGCCAGACCTGTCCCCTGCAGCCCATATCAAGAGGATAACATCAGCGGCATATGCCAGGCTGGCCAACATAAGAACGGCATTCAGAAACGTGTTTAAGGAATCATTCAGAACTTTGTATACCACATATGTCAGGCCAGTCATGGAGTATGCAGGATTGGCCTGACATGGATTGGCCAGCATGGAGTCCATATCTAGTCAAGGATAAGACCAAACTGGGAAAGGTTCAAAGGTTTGCCACCAGACTAGTACCCGAGCTGAGAGGTATAAGCTACGAGGAGAGGCTACGGGAATTAAACCTCACTTCGTTGAAAGACAGAAGAGTTAGGGGGGGACATGATCACCACATTCAAGATTCTCAAGGGAATCGATAGGGTAGATAAAGACAGGCTATTTAACACAATAGGCACACGCACTAGGGGACACAGGTGGAAACTGAGTGCCCAAATGAGCCACAGAGATATTAGAAAGAACTTTTTTAGTGTCAGAGTGGTTGACAAATGGAATGCATTAGGAAGTGATGTGATTGAGGCTGATTCCATACACAGTTTCTAGTGTAGATATGATAGAGCCCAATAGGCTCAGGAACCTGTACACCTATTGATTGACGGTTGAGAGGCGGGACCAAAGAGCCAGAGCTCAACCCCCGCAAGCACAATTAGGTGAGTACAATTAGGTGAGTACACACACACACACACACACACACACACACACACACACACACACACACACACACACGCACACACACACAGAGGGGGGGTCGGAGGTTCCCTCCACCCCCTCTATCCTTCCCCCTCCCAACCTCTCAGCCTCTATCTGACTCCCAACCTTACGCTATCTCCCAACCCCTCTATGCCCTCCCTAATCTTCAGACCCAGTATGCCCTTCCTACTCCAGACCTACCTACCCAGGCCCTACCCCAGACCCTCCTACCTACCTTCCTAGAAGCCCAGCCCTCAGTAGCCCCCCAAGCACCCCTCCTGACCTCTTTCACCCCCATACACCCCCCGGACCCCCCCCCAGACACCCCTCGGATCCCCCCGGACATCCCCCGGATCCTCCCCGCCCCCAGTCATCCCCCAGACACCCCCCAGATCCCCCAGATCCCCCCTGCCCCCAGTCACCCCCCAGACACCCCCCAGATCCCCCAGACCCCCAGAGAAAGGGAGAACTCTGGTACAAGAGTTTCCATGAAGAATCTCAAGGTTTGGTACACCAATGCTGATGGGGTATCTAATAAAGCAGAAGAGATAAAAGAAAGAGTGAGTGAAGCAGATCCTGACATAGTTGCAATTGTGGAAACTAAAATTAATGGCATGATCTCAGATACAATCTTTCCTGAAGGGTACCAGGTGATACGAAAAGAGAGGACACAGAGACAGGGAGGGGGAGTAGCACTCCTAATAAAGCGGAAATGGAAGTTTGAAGACCTGGGAAATCGGGTTACCAATGAGTGCACAAGCTTCATACATGGAACTCTGACAGTAGATGGGAGGAAGATTGTGATCTTGGTAATCTACAATCCCCCACCAAACAGTAGAAGACCCAGGCAGGAGTATGATGACAACAACAAAGCATGTATAGATGAACTGCAGAAGGCAGCAACACTAGCCCACAGAATGAGAGCGAAGCTGCTGATCATGGGGGACCTAAATCATGGAAAGATAAATTGGGAATCAAGGAATCCCCATGGAGGGGACGAAACGTGGGGAGCAAAATTAGTAGATGTTATAGACAGGAATTTCCTGACACAACATGTGAAGGAAGACACAAGGGAAAGAGGAGGAGATGCACCAAGCTTATTAGACCTGATTTTCACCCAGAACGAAGAAGATATCGAGAATTTAGAGCATGAAATACCTCTAGGGGCCAGTGACCATTGTGTCCTAGTCTTTGACTACATGATGGAATTCAAACTTATGACCATGGGACAAGAGATCTGGGAAAGGAGAGCTGACTACAGGAAAGGGGACTATATGAGGATAAGGGACTATCTGGGTGAAGTGCACTGGGAGGAAGAAATTAGAGGAAAAACAGTCCAAGATATGATGGACCTAGTCATACAGAAATGCCAGGAGGCCGAAGAGAGATTTATACCAACGGTAAAGGGAAAAAATAAGAAGGAATATAATAACCCATGGTTTAATAGACAGTGTCAGGAAGCAAAAATGGCCAGCAGGCGGGAGTGGAGGAAGTACAGAAGACAAAGAACAGAGGACAACAGGATCAGATACAACAGAGCTAGGAACGATTACATTAACATAAGACAAACATCGGAAAGGGACTATGAGAACGATATTGCAATCAAAGCGAAAAAACAACCTAAGTTACTACACAGTCATATAAGAAGAAAAATGTCGGTGAACGACCAAGTGACAAGACTAAGGAAGACAGAGGGGGCATATACTGAAAGTGACAAGGAAATCTGCGAGGCACTGAATGCCAGTTTCCATGGAGTGTTCACTACCGAGCCTGAGCAGCTCCCATTGTTGGAAGGGGTTACCCTAGATGAAAGACTATCAGATATAGAGGTGACAGCAGAGGAGGTAATGAAGCAGTTGACAACTCTAGATGCAACTAAAGCAGTTGGACCAGACAAAGTATCATCGTGGATACTAAAAGAAGCAGCACAGGCCCTCAGCGTGCCTCTGGCAATGATCTTTAATGAGTCACTTATGTCAGGAGAATTGCCCAGTTGCTGGAAGAAGGCAAATGTCATGCCGATCTTCAAGAAAGGTGATAGGGAGGAGGCACTTAACTATAGACCTGTATCACTGACAAGCATCCCCTGTAAAATACTGGAAAGAATAATTAGGCTACGACTGGTTGCACACCTGTAGAACATTAGGTTTGTGAACAAACATCAACATGGGTTCTGGACAGGGAAATCGTGCCTAACAAACCTTCTGGAATTCTATGATAAAATAACGAGGATAAGACAGGACAGAGATGGTTGGGCAGACTGCATATTTCTGGACTGCCAAAAAGCCTTTGATACAGTACCGCACATGAGACTGCTGTTCAAGCTCGAGAGGCAGGCGGGGGTGGGGGGAAAGGTCCTAGCATGGATAAGGAACTACCTAACAGGAAGGAGCCAAAGAGTTACGGTAAGGGGCGAGAAGTCGGACTGGCGAACAGTAACAAGTGGAGTACCACAAGGATCGGTGCTGGGACCAATTCTATTTCTTGTATATGTTAACGACATGTTTACAGGCGTAGAGTCCTACATGTCGATGTTTGCGGATGACGCAAAGTTGATGAGAAGAGTTGTGACAGATGAGGATTGCAGGATCCTCCAAGATGACCTGAACAGGTTGCAGAGATGGTCAGAGAAATGGCTACTGGAATTCAACACGAGCAAATGTAAAGTTATGGAAATGGGACTAGGAGATAGGAGACCAAAGGGACAGTACACAATGAAGGGGAACAGCCTACCTGTAACGACGCGTGAAAGAGACCTGGGGGTGGACGTAACACCTAATCTATCTCCTGAGGCACATATAAATAGGATAACGACAGCAGCGTACTCTACACTGGCAAAAGTTAGAGCATCATTCAGAAACCTAAGTAAGGAGGCATTTAGGGCGCTTTACACTGCCTACGTAAGGCCAGTCTTAGAGTATGCCGCCTCATCATGGAGTCCCCATCTGAAGAAGCATATAATGAAACTGGAAAAGGTTCAGAGGTTTGCAACGAGACTCGTCCCAGAGCTACGAGGGATGGGGTATGAGGAGCGCCTGAGGGAACTGTGCCTTACGACACTAGAAAGAAGAAGGGAGAGGGGGGACATGATAGGAACGTATAAGATACTCAGAGGGATTGACAGAGTGGACATAAACGAAATGTTCACACGGAATACTAACAGAACGAGGGGACATGGATGGAAGCTTGAAACTCAGATGAGTCACAGAGATGTTAGGAAGTTTTCTTTTAGCGTGAGAATTGTGGGGAAATGGAATGCACTTCAGGAACAGGTTGTGGAAGCAAATACTATTCATAATTTTAAAACCAGGTATGATAGGGAAATGGGACAGGAGTCATTGCTGTAAACAACCGATGCTCGAAAGGCGGGATCCAAGAGTCAATGCTCGATCCTGCAGACACAACTAGGTGAGTACACACCGTGTGTCTGAGCAGTTGGTCCAGATGGAGTTTCACCATGGGTTCTGAGAGAATGTGCATCTGAGCTCAGCATTCCACTTCACCTGATCTTTCAGGCATCCCTGTGTACAGGAGTCGTAGCAGACGTGTGGAAAAAGGCTAACATAGTTCCAATCTACAAAAGTGGCAGCAGGGAAGACCCCCTCAATTATAGATCTGTATCATTGACAAGTGTAATAGTCAAAATATTGGAAAAACTAATACAAATTAAATGGGTAGAACATCTGGAGAGAAATGATATAGTATCAGACAGACAGTATGGTTTTCGATCTTGCAGGTGATTTCCTATTAGCAACCCCAATGTCAGCAACCGGCACCCGTGTCTCACCGCAGGCCCTCCCCGAATTGCCGTGGCTCTCCGCCTCGCTGCCCCAATCCACACCGAATACAGGTGTATTTGCGGCGAGGCAGAGGCCGACAGATACGGACGGCATGGCTTCTCTGCCAAAGGACAGGTGGATGGCATGCAAGACACGGCGAGGTCAATGACATTATTAAGAGGAGCCTTACCACAGCCGGTTGTCCAGCAGAGAGAGAGCCCCGTTACCTAATGTCCCGCAACTCTGATGAGCCTGTCGGTCGCCCAGACGGAATCACGGTGAACCCCTGGAAGAATGGTAGACAGTTGGTGTGGGACTACACATGCGTTTCAACTTTAGCCAATACCTATGTTGACTTCAGTGCTACACAAGCAGGAGGAGCTGCCAATCACCGGGAAGCGGCCAAGTCACGTAAATACAGAGACCTTGAGCACCACTACAATTTTGTCCCCATTGCCTCAGAGACACTTGGTGCCTGGGGTAAAAGTGCTGCTAGCTTTTTGAAGGAGTTGGGGTCTAAGCTAATCGAAACAACTAGAGACCCTAGAGCTGCCAGTTTTCTTTTTCAGCGCCTTAGTGTGGCAATCTAGAGAGGAAATGCTCACTGCATCCATGGTTCCTGCCCGCCATCTGAGGAGCTGTACAACTTGTGACAAGCAGCCTTGTACCCTGCATGTAATCAATATTGTAACTTTTTTTGTGTAATGACATTTTCAAATAAAGTTAGATAAATATACACACTTACCAAAAGAATAGGGGTGGTAGGAGAAGAAAATATCAAAGTGTTCAGTGAGGATCCACAAGGTCTTCTCTGAGTACTCTTTATTTTCTTCTCCGAGGCTATGGGTCATTACACTTGCACCAGAGGTGGTACCCCTTCTAGGTTTAAAAAAAAAATTATATATATATATATATATATATATATATATATATTATATATATATATATATATATATATATATATATATATATATATATATATATATATATATATATATATATATATATATATATATATATATATAATATATATATATATATATATATATATATATATATATATATATATATATATATATATATATATATGCGAACAAGCCTGAATGGTCCCCAGGACATATGCAACTGAAAACTCACACCCCAGAAGTGACTCGAACCCATACTCCCAGAAGCAACGCATCTGGTATGTACAAGACGCCTTAATCCACTTGACCATCACGACCGGACATAATGAGGTGATAGCCGAGGCTATTTGAATGCTATGCCCAAGATAACTATCCGAGTGCCGGCGGTGGGGTGGTTCAAATAGCCTCGGCTATCACCTCATTATGTCCGGTCGTGATGGTCAAGTGGATTAAGGCGTCTTGTACATACCAGATGCGTTGCTTCTGGGAGTATGGGTTCGAGTCACTTCTGGGGTGTGAGTTTTCAGTTGCATATGTCCTGGGGACCATTCAGGCTTGTTCGCATTTGTGTTCCTCACGTGTTGCCCCAAAGAATGAGGTGATTTGGTAAAATGCTATGCCCAAGATAACTATCCGAGTGCCGGCGGTGGGGTGGTTCAAATAGCCTCGGCTATCACCTCATTATGTCCGGTCGTGATGGTCAAGTGGATTAAGGCGTCTTGTACATACCAGATGCGTTGCTTCTGGGAGTATGGGTTCGAGTCACTTCTGGGGTGTGAGTTTTCAGTTGCATATGTCCTGGGGACCATTCAGGCTTGTTCGCATTTGTGTTCCTCACGTGTTGCCCCAAAGAATGAGGTGATTTGGTAAAATGCTATGCCCAAGATAACTATCCGAGTGCCGGCGGTGGGGTGGTTCAAATAGCCTCGGCTATCACCTCATTATGTCCGGTCGTGATGGTCAAGTGGATTAAGGCGTCTTGTACATACCAGATGCGTTGCTTCTGGGAGTATGGGTTCGAGTCACTTCTGGGGTGTGAGTTTTCAGTTGCATATGTCCTGGGGACCATTCAGGCTTGTTCGCATTTGTGTTCCTCACGTGTTGCCCCAAAGAATGAGGTGATTTGGTAAAATGCTATGCCCAAGATAACTATCCGAGTGCCGGCGGTGGGGTGGTTCAAATAGCCTCGGCTATCACCTCATTATGTCCGGTCGTGATGGTCAAGTGGATTAAGGCGTCTTGTACATACCAGATGCGTTGCTTCTGGGAGTATGGGTTCGAGTCACTTCTGGGGTGTGAGTTTTCAGATATATATATATATATATATATATATATATATATATATATATATATATATATATATATATATATATATTATATATATAATATATAATATATATATATATATATATGTCGTACCTAGTAGCCAGAACGCACTTCTCAGCCTACTATGCAAGGCCAAATTTGCCTAATAAGCCAAGTTTTCCTGAATTAATATATTTTCTATAATTTTTTTCTTATGAAATGATAAAGCTACCCATTTCATTATGTATGAGGTCAATTTTTTTTTATTGGAGTTAGAATTAACGTAGATATATGACCGAACCTAACCAACCCTACCTAACCTAACCTAACCTATCTTTATAGGTTAGGTTAGGTTAGGTAGCCGAAAAAGTTAGGTTAGGTTAGGTTAGGTAGGTTAGGTAGTCGAAAATCAATTAATTCATGAAAACTTGGCTTATTAGGCAAATCGGGCCTTGCATAGTAGGCTGAAAAGTGCGTTCTGGCTACTAGGTACGACATATATATATATATGGAAAATGAACCAAAACTGTGTTTTCTGTTATATGTTGTGTACTGAGGTTGAGCCAAAGTTGCCAGATGGCAGAGTTGTGTTTCGCCGACACCAATATTTCCCCGGGACACATCCGGCCTCCTCCGGCCTACCTGCTGATAACGACCCGCGAGTCAGGACGCGGACTCTGGGAAGGTGGCAGCAGCCACACTAACATGTGCTGACACACTCCTCCATTTCCTGGGACCTTGTCAAGAACACTCTCTCCATCTGAGCTGCTCCACTACCATACCTCCCATGCACCACCACTCAACACCACCGTCCCTGGCCCCTCAACACCTCTCACCACCGTCCCTGGCCCCTCAACACCTCCCACCACCGTCCCTGGCCCCTCAACACCTCCCTCCACCGTCCCTGGCCCCTCAACACCTCCCACCACCGTCACTGGCCCCTCAACACCTCCCACCACCGTCCCTGGCCCCTCAACACCTCCCACCACCGTCCCTGGCCCCTCAACACCTCCCACCACCGTCCCTGGCCCCTCAACACCTCCCACCACCGTCCCTGGCCCCTCAACACCTCCCACCACCGTCCCTGGCCCCTCAACACCTCCCACCACCGTCCCTGGCCCCTCAACACCTCCCACCACCGTCCCTGGCCCCTCAACACCTCCCACCACCGTCCCTGGCCCCTCAACACCTCCCACCACCGTTCCTGGCCCCTCAACACCTCCCACCACCGTCCCTGGCCCCTCAACACCTCCCACCACCGTCCCTGGACTCTCAACACCTCCCACCACCGTCCCTGGCCCATCAACACCTCCCACCACCGTCCCTGGACCCTCAACACCTTCCACCTCCGTCCGTGGCCACTCAACACCTCCCACCTCCGTCACTGGCCCCTCAACACCTCTCACCACCGTCCCTGGCCCCTCAACACCTCCCACCACCGTCCCTGGCCCCTCAACGCCTCCCACCACCGTCCCTGGCCCCTCAACGCCTCCCACCTCCGTCCCTGGTCCCTCAACACTTCCGTCCCTGGCCCCCTCAACACCTCCCACCACCGTCCCTGGACCCTCAACACCTTCCACCTCCGTCTCTGGCCCTTCAACACCTCCCACCTCCGTCCCAGGACCCTCAACACCGTCCACCTCCGTCCCTGGCCACTCAACGCCTCCCACCTTCGTCCCTGGCCCCTCAACACCTCCCACCACCGTCCCTGGCCCCTCAACGCCTCCCACCACCGTCCCTGGCCCCTCAACACCTCCCACCACCGTCCCAGGACCCTCAACACCTCCCACCTCCGTCCCTGGCCCTTCAACACCTCCCACCTTCGTCCCTGGACCCTCAACACCTCCCACCTCCGTCCCTGGTCCCTCAACACCTCCCACCACCGTCCCTGGCCCCTCAACACCTCCCACCTCCGTCCCTGGCCCCTCAACACCTCCCACCACCGTCCCTGGCCCCTCAACACCTCCCACCTCCGTCCCTGGCCCCTCAACACCTCCCACCTCCGTCCCTGGACCCTCAACACCTCCCACCTCCGTCCCTGGTCCCTCAACACCTCCCACCACCGTCCCTGGCCCCTCAACACCTCCCACCTACGTCCCTGGCCCCTCAACACCTCCCACCACCGTCCCTGGCCCCTCAACACCTCCCACCTCCGTCCCTGGCCCCTCAACACCTCCTACCACCGTCCCTGGCCCCTCAACACCTCCCACCACCGTCCCTGGCCCCTCAACACCTCCCACCACCGTCCCTGGACCCTCAACACCTCCCACCACCGTCCCTGGACCCTCAACACCTCCCACCGCCGTCCCTGGACCCTCAACACTTCTCACCTCCGTCCCTGGCCCCTCAACACCTCCCACCTCCGTCCCTGGCCCCTCAACACCTCCGTCCCTGGTCCCTCAACACCTCCCACCTCCGTCCCTGGACCCTCAACACCTCCCACCTCCGTCCCTGGGCCCTCAACACCTCCCACCTCCGTCCCTGGCCCCTCAACACCTCCCACCTCCGTCCCTGGCCCCTCAACACCTCCGTCCCTGGTCCCTCAACACCTCCCACCTCCGTCCCTGGACCCTCAACACCTCCCACCTGCGTCCCTGGGCCCTCAACACCTCCCACCTCCGTCCCTGGCCCCTCAACACCTCCGTCCCTGGTCCCTCAACACCCCCCACCTCCGTCCCTGGCCCCTCAACACCTCCCACCTCCGTCCCTGGCCCCTCAACACCTCCGTCCCTGGTCCCTCAACACCTCCCACCTCCGTCCCTGGACCCTCAACACCTCCCACCTGCGTCCCTGGGCCCTCAACACCTCCCACCTCCGTCCCTGGGCCCTCAACACCTCCCACCACCGTCCCTGGGCCCTCAACACCTCCCACCTCCGTCCCTGGCCCCTCAACACCACCGTCCCTGGCCCCTCAACACTTCCCACCTCCGTCCCTGGTCCCTCAACACCTCCCACCACCGTCCCTGGCCCCTCAACACCTCCCACCTCCGTCCCTGGTCCCTCAACACCTCCCACCACCGACCCATTAGTGTTTGCAGGTTATAGTTTTGTGTGTGTAAACTAAAGTCTTTGAAAATGTAATTAGTTATTACGAAATGCGTTCAAGTGTCGCGTCAGACTAGAAATTAAAATGAATTTTGGAGAATTGATTTTTCAATTACCATCAACAGTAAAAAGAAACATAAGAAATATTGAGGAAATTCGTGTTTGAATTATTAATCTTACTTAATAATTCCAGGAGGCTGTTTATAACAATAATAACAGTTGATTGGGAAGTTTTCATGTTTGTAAACTCTCTAATAAATGTAATCAAAGCCGTCAAAGATTGAGGAAATATGTACACGTTCGTAAGTACTTGCGTAACTGCTTCGTGAATCTGGCCCCAGAGCCGTAACCGTCACCCTCTATTGCACGTATATACAATCATTGCAAGTTGTCCTGCAGCTTACACCAGCACCACTAATGCCACCTCCTCCAACAGGTGTCAGCGTGGACTGGTCCTTCCAGCAGCAGCAGCAGCGGCCTCCGCCAGTCTCCGCAGACTACCTCCATGGCTTCCGTGCCTCCCTCACCTCCGCCCTCCCCTCCTTCTCCCTCTACGACTCTCGCCGCCTGCCTTACATCTTCTCTCCCCTTCTCCCCCACCACCCCGCCGCCCACACCTTCCCGCTCAAACTGCCCACCGACCCCCTGCCTCGCTGCTCCTCCTGCGGGGTCCAAGTCGCTTCAGAAATAGACTTTCTCTACCATAACTGTGAGCCCAAGTAAGCGTCAGTACTCAACCCAGGTCTCTCTCCACCACTCTCTCCAGCAACACGGCTCTCTCCACCACTGTCTCCACCACTGTCTCCAGCAACACGGCTCTCTCCACTACTGACTCCGCCAACAAGCCTCAACTCCACCTCAGTTCTCAGCCTGCTAACAGTAGTCGTCTCTTGTCATAGTCGTCTCTCTCACCTGTCTAGAAAAACATATCTACTGATTGCTGAATATATAATTGCTGTTTTATATCAGTAAATTTTGCTTAAACAATGTATGTATATATGAGTGTGTACTCATCTGGTTGTGTTTCGGGGGCTGAGCTCTGGCTCTTTGGTCCCGCCTCTCAACTGTCAATCAACTGGTGTACAGATTCCTGAGCCTATTGGGCTCTATCATATCTACATTTGAAACTGTGTATGGAGTCTGCCTCCACCACAATATTAATGCATTCCATTTGTTAACTACCCTGACACTGAAAAAATTCTTTCTAATGTCTTTGTGGCTCATCTGGGTACCAAGTTTCCACCTGTGTCCCCTTGTTCGTGTTCCACCCGTGCTAAAGAGTTTGACTTTGTCCACCCTGTCAATTCCCCCTGAGAATTTTGTAGGTGGTTATCATGTCTCCCTTTACCCTTCTGTTTTCCAGGGTTGTGAGGTTCAACTCCCTTAGCCTTTCCTCGTAACTCATTCCTCTCAGTTCCGGGACCAGTCTGGTGGCATACCTCTGAATCTTCTCTAACTTCGTCTTGTGTTTAACTAGGTATGGATTCCAGGCTGGAGCTGCATACTCCAGGATTGGTCTTACATAAGTGGTATACAGGGTCCCGAACAATTCCTTATACAAGTTTCTAAAGGCAGTTTGGAGTCAGCCTCCACCACATCACTGCCTAATGCATTCCATTTGTCAACCACTCTGACACTAAAAAACATCTTTCTAATATCTCTCTGGCTCATTTGGGCACTCAGTTTCCACCTGTGTCCCCTAGTGCGTGTGCCCCTTGTGTTAAATAGACTGTCTTTATCTACCCTATCATTTCCCTTGAGAATCTTGAATGTGGTGATCATGTCCCCCTCTAACTCTTCTGTCTTCCAGCGAAGTGAGGTTTAATTCCCGTAGTCTCTCCTCGTAGCTCATACCTCTTAGCTCGGGAACTAGTCTGGTGACAAACCTTTGAACCTTTTCCAGTTTAGTCTTATGCTTGACTAGATATGGACTCCATGCTGGGGCTGCATACTCCAGGATTGGTCTGACATTTGTGGAATACAAAGTTCTGAATGATTCCTTACACAAGTCTCTGAATGCCATTCTTATGTTGGTCAACCAACTTATGTTGGTTTTTATGCCGTTCTTATGTTGTGTGTGTGTGTGCGCGTGCGTGCGTGTGCGTGCGCAATAGCTATTCAGAACTAATGGGTTAGGTTTCTAATATTCAGTGAAATGTGTCATCATCTAAGTATATAGTTAAATAGGCGCCTTTCAGCAGGGGGTAAGAATGAAGAGTTGTGTGTGGGACTCGAGCCGCTGCCTGCATGGTCCCTGCAGGGTGATGGTCCTCCCGCACAGACCACAAGGGTCCCTCTCTGACCTCTAAGGGCCTAGGCCACCGGTCAGGTACACCTCCCTCACTATACCCAGTGGTGCCCGGACTGCGGCCGGTGGTGCCCGGACTGCGGCCGGTGGTGCCCGGACTGTGGCCGGTGGTGCCCGGACTGCGGCCGGTGGTGCCCGGACTGTGGCCGGTGGTGCCCGGACTGGGGCCGGTGGTGACCGGCCAGGGTTCGGGCACCACTGGCCCACCACACAGCTGGCGGTGTGTGACAAACGCACAAACCTGCCCAGCAGTACAACACAGGTTCACTAACAGTTTACACACACTCCCCGCTGCAATACTGAGCAGTGTGAATATGTTGAGTGTTGCAGGAGTGTTGCAGGAGTGTGTAGAACAGCTTAG